GTATCGTTATTTTATGAAAAACAAATGTAAGAAACAATGATTTGTATATGTTATTTGAAATATGAAGTTATCTAACCTATATATAGGTCATTGAAATTATAACGTAACTATAAGAAAAGACTATAAAGTTAACGTAATATTTAATGGCAATTAAAAATTTTGACAAAAAAAAAAGACTACAAAACTTAAAGTTAATGGTTTCTATCAACGTTTCAAATATAACAAAAAAAAAACTAAAGATAAGTACCGATATCCAATTCAATATAAGAAACAGATGATTAATTTTAACTTATTTTGATATTTTAAACCAAATTAATAATGAGTATGAGGTTCACAGTGGCGGACCCATGTAGAGAGAAGGTGGGTCATCTGACACACCTTAAATATAAAAATTCGAGATTTTAAAAAGAGTTAGGTTTGTTTTGGTGGCTTATTTGGTCACTGGCTAGTCTTATGACACCCCTAACTTACGTTCGATTCTCACAAAGTCATTCTTTATTTCATTTTTTTAATTATTGGGTCATAGCCCATATTTCAACTTAGGCAATAAAACTCATTTTTACAGTTTTTTTTTTGTCTCCTATATTTTACATTCAATTTGGTTTGTATATTTAATAAATATATGTTTTAACATCAAAATATACTGATAAAATTATTAAAAATCAATTTAAAATCTTATAAAAAAATTTTGTTCAAAATATATGTTATATAAAATACAAAGATATTTATAATATATATATTTGTTGACCCCGGTAAAAACATTTCTGGGTCCGCCACTGGAGGTTCAAATTGACATATATAGTTTTAAGCCAAATAAATTAAATGGACTAACTATTTATAATTATAAATATAATTAATTATTAAAATTTTAAAAGCCTAACTCATATTGTATTTGAAAACTATTATTTTGTTTATATAAAAATTCATTTTCCTCACAATACTTTTAATCTAAATAACTAATAAATGTTAGTAAAAGTTTATTTGACATACAACTTATTCGAAGGTTTTCAAAGTTTTTATATGCTGATATGAGATCCACAATAGCAAATAATTAAATTTAGAATATCATATATAGTTTTGTTAATAGATACTCTCTATGTTCCTAGAAGAGTGATGTTTTGAGTTTTACACACT